CCCGCACGGGTGCGAGAGAGACAGAGCGACAGCCTGCAGCAGCGCCGGCAGCACGGCGAGGGGGTGGCGTGGGCGTCGGGCGTCGAGCCCCGAGGCGGCGGGCACCTCAGGCATGGCCAAACTAAACGATCCGCAAACTTGGAGTCAACATATCAGCATTGCCGGGCGTTTGCCGGCGGCCGCCCCGCGGCCCACGCCCCGCCACGCCCCCGCCACGCCCCGCCACGCCCCCCGCCCGCACGCCGCCACGCCCCGCCACGCCGCCCCGCCACGCCCCGCCACGCCCTGCCCTCCTCATTCAATTTGGGGCCGCTGCTGTTCCGCGCGATCCTATCAGCGGAATCCCCCTCCCCCCCCTCCAGGAAGTAAGTGAATAATGCGGGCCGTGCCGCCGCTGTTGTTGAAGGTGATGATTGGGTCCGAGCAAGAACACGGTCTGCGCGGCCAGGCACGCGAGCGAGCCGCGCGCTGCGGCACCGCGGCGCCGCGGCGCCAACCCTTCCGACCTACCCCAGCAGCAGACCGATTCCGAGGGCCGCGGTGGTCGCTCCGTCTCCCTCGCACTCACGGGGCGTCCCCTGCGGGTGCGAGAGAGACGGAGTGATTGTCGGAATCAGCCTGCAGCGCGGCTGTGTTGTGCACTGCCAATGCCAGACAGGAATTAGACGTTGTTTCTCGCGAAACCCGGAGCCCCCCAACCCAGGACGCCGCGCCTCACCGCAGGCCGAGGTACATATAGGAGTGTGGCCGTGCTGGAATTTCGTTATGAAAGGTGTGGGACGGCGTCGCCTAGCGATGGCTTCAGGACAGAGAGAAGTAGGGGAGCTGGGCTCAGTCATTCGCATGTGTTAGGTTGTGTGTGTGTGTGCGTGTGTCCTTATCGTGCTTTGCCCCTCCGCCACGTAATACCTGCACGGCGCGGTGTCCCTAGGAGTAATAACGAAGGGAGGTTTCTGCAGTGGCGCGGCTGGAGCGGCGTGTGGGTCGATTTAATTAGGATTCTTGAGTGTGGGGGTGGCGGTGGCGGTGGTGGAGGCGGCGGTGGTCTCGGTGGTGGTGGTGGCGGCGATCAGGGGCGAAAGTGAAGTAAGGTGGTCACATAGTAATGAGGAAAGCGGTGGAGGGGGAAACGACACGAGTGGTGGTGGAGGGGTGGCTAGCTGGCTGCGGCTTTTAGGGGTTGTTTTATCGGCAATTTTTAGGGGCGAAGAGTTTGCACTTGGGAAAAAGAGTTTCGTGTTGACAAAAAAGCCTCAGCTTTCGAAGAAAACAGTCCGTCATTTACGATCGAACTAATTGCTCACAAACTTGACAGTTTGTACCCTTACACAAGCTCGAAATACTTTGGTAAGGCTTCAAGCTTGTGTTCTTTCCCCAGACTGCCTGCACTACCAGTGTGGGAGGGCAGCCTCTCTTTGGCGTAAACTTTAAGAGCAAACCACGAATCCTATTTGCGGAGTGTTCACCGCCGTGTCTAGGAGTGAGTGCTACGCCCCCTCCCCCTCTGCTTTCACCAAGCGAGTTTTCGTCAGCCCCCCCCTCGCCTCGCCTCGGAACCGCATGGTTTGCAAATGTCGGCTCCCCACAGTTCCATCCCCTGAGCCTGGCCGGGCTCGGCCCTGAGCGGCACGGCGAGCGACGCGCTGGCAAGCCTGGCAAGCCGCAATTTGACGCCGAAGGCCTTGAGGGAAGTGCTTTCTGCTATTGCTTAATGCTTCTGGCTAGCTTGGGGGCGGGGAGGCGAGGGGGTGTAAACACACATCTTTTACCAGCAAGTAGGAATGCCCGTGCGGCGTGCCGCCTACAAGACTCGACGGTCGCTGGGAGTGCCCGCGCAAGCCTTCCCCGGCACCCTGGAGGTCCGGGGATCGAATCCCGCTGCAGACTGATGCCGAGAGTCGTTTTCGTCGCTCTGTCTCTCTCGCACCTGAACGGAACACCCCATGAGTGCGAGAGAGACAGAGACGGACTCCCGGAACGGACACCCGATGCCCCCTTTTTCGCCGCGCCCCACGTGCGCGTCGGGTTTCCAGTGGCGTAGCGGCGAAGCCCGACAAAGAAGGGGAAATCCAAAATGCTCTTCGCGGTGTGTCGATGCATCCGCGGAAAGATTCCGCCAGTAACGGCGGCGAGGCGCTGGCGAGGCGAGGGTGCACAGTGGGCCAGAAGACCGGTGGAGGCGGCCAAAACCCGAGACGCGTTTTGAGCTCCAGAGTCGCTAAAAGGGACTCGACCCGGACGTGTGACCCCACCAATGGATTGGCCTTCGAACGAGGAATCCATTGGTGGGGTCACACGTTCGTTTCGAGCCCTTTTTAGCGACCCTGGGGCTGAAAACTCGTCTAGAGTTTTGGCCGCCTCCACCGGTCTTCTGGCCCACAGTGGGGTGGCTGGCTCCGAAGACTGCGTCCTCGTCGCTCTGTCTCTCTCGCACCCTCGGGGCTCCGCAGCGTTCCGCAGGTGCGAGAGAGACAGCGACGACAGCGGCCTGACGCACTCTGCCCACCGTTCGCCGGTCCATTCCCTTCCACGCGATTGGACACCCCCTTCTGCTGCCTCCCTTTTTGCCAGTGTTGTGATTCCGTCATCGCCCCCACGCGTTCCGCGTTCCGAGCGTCGCGATGACGGCTACACTGCCAAAAACATACCATTGGTGTGAAATAGTTTGTTGTTGTTGTTGTTGTTGTTGTTTTTCGGACACTGAAAAGTTTGTTTTGCCTGTGGAGAAGGTATACACGCCTCTCCTGGTCGGAGGCCGGATAAATCATGGACCGGACTGAACTGCGCCGCCTGTGCTCTCTTGTATCACAGTGTACCTTGTTTGAACCGTTTGGGCGAGGCGGGTGAAATTTGGCCAAGCCGCGCTGTACGCTTCGCGAAGCGGGCCGCGCTCGCCAAACATAAAACAACCGCATGCAGTCTGCGGCGGTCCGCCTGGCGGGGCGGGGCGGGGCGGGGCCGCCCAGCTGTGCGCCGGACCAGGGCCAGCGAGGAGAGGGCACTCTGAACATGAAGAACACATCAGGAATGCGGCACGGCGCGGCTCGGCGTTCGACGAGTCTCGCAGAAGCACGGCCGCCGCAGCATCGTCGGGGCCGCACAGTGGGCCAGAAGACCGGTGGAGGCGTCCAAAACCCGAGACGCGTTTTGAGCTCCAGAGTCGCTAAATGGGACTCGAACCGTACGTGTGACCCCACCAATGGATTGGTCTCCGAACGAGGAATCCATTGGTGGGGTCACACGTTCGTTTCGAGCCCTTTTTAGCGACCCTGGGGCTGAAAACTCGTCTCGAGTTTTGGCCACCTCCAGCCCACAGTGTGCCGGCCGAGGCAGGCCGAGGCAGCCAAAGGCTTGGAAAGAGAAACAGGCCGCCTTGGCCTGCACGTCCTGGCGGACGGCGGGCACGGCGTCGCCGCGACTGCGTCGCCACGACCGCGTGGGCCCGGACAAGTTGTTGCCGTGCGCCAGTCCGTCGGGCCAAAGCCGTCCAACGCTAGCGGTGCAGTGGAGTGAGCCAGCCGCGACCGGGCCCCTGGAGTCGCGGCCAGAAAGCTACTTATAGAGCGAAACCCCAGAGAGAAAAATCACTCAACATTAAAATGGCACGGTTTTTTTACCGTTTACGGAGCGTGCGGTGTTACAATCTCCTGTGTGAAATCGAGGAAAATGTGTGTGTGTGTGTGTGTGCGCGCGCGCGCGCGTGCGTGTGCGCACGCCCAAGCAGGGTGCTGACTGGCTGAAGGGCGGTCCAGAAATTTTGCACGGTCACGTATAGAAAGGGGGGGGGGAGCTGCGAGCCTGTGTCACCGTATCCATCCATCGCATGCTGAACTTGTGCTGCTTCGATACCCCCCTCTCCATCCGATCGCTCCCTGCCCCCTTCTCACCACGGGGCTTGGATTGCGCGTTTTTAGTACTCTTGAGGTTTGATGAGCGGGGCTTCTCGTGCTCACACAGACACAGACACTCACTCACTCTCTTGCACACACACACACGGAGTATCCAGTGCATTCTCGATCGCCTCTCTCTCTCTCTCTCTCTCTCTCTCTCTGCATCAAACGGCCGCGGGGACAATTGCACACGGCGTTTCGCTAAGTACATGCATGCATTAGCACTTGCGCACGCGCTCTCTCACACACACACTCACACACACGCACGCTCACACACTCTCACACACACACACAACGCGTGATTAGGTGATTAGGCTGTCCTAAGTGAATTATTCATCGAGCGAAAGTGTTAATTCGCCGATTTCAGAACGATTCCGTTGCCCCCGTCCCCCTTGGTTCCCCCCTCCCCCCTCTCTCCGCCCCCGTTGTATAAAATGATTGGGCGCGCTGCCAGGGAGTCTCAGGAACCACCTCATTTGGATTCCAGGCGAGGGCGACTCGCGGCTTGCTCCTTTTCTGCCGTTTGCGTGCTTGTTTTCGTTTTTGTTTTTATCTCCATCGTTCCGCCGTTTCTATGACGGCGTCCTGGCTGCCGCCCCCGCCGCCCTGCGCAGGCTCTGTCTCTCTCGCACCCACACGGACCGCCCCATGAGTGCGAGGGAGGTGTCAGCACACTCAAAATATGGGGTGCCCAGCAACTGGGTGCCTTTGTCGCCCGCCCCACTTTTTAGGGTGCCAAATGTCGCCCAGTTTCTGGGCACCTTTGTCGCCCAGTCTCGGGGTGGACAAATCATACAGTAACCGACCCTCTCCCATGGTAGAGCATGCTCAGGTGTCTAGATCCTGGGCGACTAAGGTGCCTAGATTCTGGGCACCTTCGGCACCTCAGTTGCGTCTGAGCCATGGGTGAAGGCAGGTTTCTTAATGGTTTGTCCACCCCGAGACTGAGTGACAAAGGCGCCCAGTTGCTGGGCACCCTACATTTAGAGTGTAGGTGGTATGCTGCAGGTGCGGCGTGTCGCACAGCATCTGTCTGTCTCGCTCCTGCACCGGAACCCTACGAGTGCGAGAGAGACGGAGCGACTCACGGTGCCGTCCCCTCTGCTGCAGGTGCGGCGCTGCAGGTGTGCGGCGCGTCGCGGAGCTGCTGCACTGTCGCCATGGAGGACGCCCTGCGCAGCCAGGTGCACCGGGACTTCGCCGCCCTCGTGCACCACAACTCCAAGGCCACCCAGGACGTGCTGGCCACCGCGTCCGCCAGCCTCAGGGGTGAGTCTCTCTTCCTCCGTCTCTCTCGCACCCACACGGGGCGCCCCGTGAGTGCGAGAGAGACAGTCAGCTGGGCTCATTGTTTACGTTCGTTTCGGGGTGCCTGTGCGGTTCCCGGCCCGTTGATGGAGTGCTTCTCATATATTGGCGGCGCCAAATCTCGGCCACTGCCGCGACGCCGCTGAAAAGGTGGGGGTGGGAAAAGGGGTGGGGGGGAGAAAGGTGGGGCTCAAGCTTGTCCCACTTGAAAGGGTCGCCGATGACGTGGCGGGGAGCGCCAGAGCGCCCCCCCCCCCCCCCCCCCCCGGCCAATCCCTTCACTACTTGATTGATTATTCCTCCGCTTGGGTAATGGACGATTCGCCTCGTTCGCCGCGCGTGGTGCAGTTGGGGCGGGGCGGGGCGGGGCGGGGCGGGGGAGTGCAGGAGATGAGCGTCTGACAGCGACAGAGGAAACGGTGGGGGGTCTTTTGGGCGAAGGTGAGGCAGCGAACGCCGCTCAGGTTAGCGCCGGGATTTTTCAGATTTACCACCACTTTTCCGTGGGCCACCCGTTCCCTGCTCGCGGGCAACGAGTCGACTTTAACGCAAGAGAAAGGGGGTCGTTGGAGGTGATATTTTGTCACGGAAATGGGAAAGTCCAAGCACAATTATTTATTTAAAAAGAAATTTGTATTACACAAGTTTTGAATATTTTTTTGCTAAATTTGAAAGGCTTTGATTTTGATGATGTGTCGGTGCGAAATGTCGTTCCACCCGTGCCCGCATGTGGCGTAGAAACCGATGATGGCCGTGCCGCGGGCATCGATTATTGATTTCCGTCCAAATCAAACACCTCTGGCAGGAGCGCGTCGGTCGCGGTCCTTACGGACGATTATCGCGTCCCATAAAGTGTGCCCGGCTCGGCTCGGCGTGTGGTATGACGGTGAGAGGCGGGCGGAGGAGCGGTAACTTTGCGCAACTTTGGGAAACAATCAAGCGTGTGAAATATGAGTCGTAAACCGGTGACGCCCCGCCCCGCCCCGCCCCGCCCCGCCCCGCCCCGCCCCGCCCCGCCCCACCCGCCCAAAGGTATCCCAAATAACAAACTCTGGGCAGAACAATTCTCCTGGTGAAGCTGTTTGAAGCGGTGCCGGCCGAGGTGCAAAGATCTTCGAATCTACGTAAATAATATTACTTTTATGATTCGCATTATTATTCAGACTGTCAGCCCAGCGGACTTTTAAATGCTCGCCAAAACAATGTGACGCGGCGTCCCGGCCGATTACCGGCTATCTTATCCTCTGCTTTGAGGCGGCCAGATAGGAGTCTGAAGGTCCGACCGCCTCAAGCCGCCTTTGCCTGCTTTGCACGCGCCAAAACACCGTCGCATTTTCTGTTTGTTTCGCGGGGGGGACGAACAATATCTGCACTAAACTCCACGCCAAAAGTGTCCGCTCTCTTTCTTTCAACGTCGAGCAGTAACAGTGTACCCGATGGAAACTCAGGAATCCTCGCCGCGGTGGTTTGGAGGGTAGTTTGGGCCGAGCGGGGGCGGCGTACCTTTGACGTAGACCCGCACTGGTTGGCGGGGTGGGGGCTGCGGGGGCTCCCCAGAGGGTGCTGCCGAAAGTAGTGTTTTGGCTGCCAGTTCGTGGTCAGGAGGGGGAAGGGAGGGGGGGGGAGCGATTGAACCCGCCTGTACGGGCGTTTTGTGGTTAGTGGTCAGGCGGGAAAGAGGGGGGGGAGGAGGGGGGATACTGACCTCGCTCAGGACCGCCAAGCCGCCTGCCCAGGACGTCGTCATTACAAGTTGGAGAGAGACAAGTAAGTGCGACTTGCCGGCCAACTACCGAGAGAGAGAGAGAGAGAGAGAGAGAGAGAGAGAGAGAGAGAGAGAGAGAGAGAGAGAGAGAGAGAGAGAGGAGGTCTGGAGAGGCGGCTGGAGCACTAGCCGAGAGGACGCACCGAACGCCTGCGAACGGGAGGATAGGCAGCCCTGCGCAGCACCACTGTCTTGCGGGACAGTCTACCCTGCCGTTGGCGGGCGTTTTGGAAGAGAGAGACGGGTCGCAAAGTTTGGTGGACACTGCGTGTTTGCACACACACTCTCTCTCTCTCTCTCTCTCTCTCTCTCTCTCTCTCTCTCTCTCTCTCTCTCTCTCTCTCTCTCTCTCTCTCTCTCTCTCTGTGTGTGTGTGTGTGTGTGTGTGTATTTTGTTGTCTGTCCCGCTGTCCACGCGGAGCCAGTGCGACATACATCTGCACTTCTGCCGTCTCTTACCCCCTCCCCCTCCCTCAAGTTGGCAACGTCATCATTTTTTTCGCCCGTAGCGCTCTGCATACATTTATTTGTGTTCATGTTCCTCCCATTTGGCGTAAACATATGCGACACGCGCGCAGTTTCATATTAAAAAGAAACCAATTTCGAGTGTCATTTCGCCGCGCAACGTGGGTGTGTATGTGTGGGTGTGTATGTGTGGGTGTGTATGTGTGTGTTGGTACCGAGCAGTGCACTGGCGGGGCGGGGCGGGGCGGGGCGTCGAGCTGTCTGGCGGGCGTGGCGCCTCAAGACGGCGCAGACAGAGACTCTCGGGCCGCCTCAGCTGGCTCTTCCCACCAGCCTTGGGTTTTGTGGGGACGGGCGGACGGGGAGACGGGCAGATGACGTATGAGACAGGCCCGCCGTCGTCGCGGTGCTCTGAGCTAGCCGTGGGCCTAGTGCACTGGCAACGCAGTGGCAGTCGCTGTCCCCCTCTCGCACCCCTGCCGGTATCTGCTCCGGCTGCTGCTGGACAGAGCGGAGTGACTCCGTGGGGTCCACGACGCGAACCGTAACGGCCGCCTGCTTCTGTGATTACCATTTGGCCCGGCAGTAAAAGTCCGGCGTGTCGGAATCGATTTCCACGAGGCGCTTGCTTCGCGGCGACGGGCGGCGCGGTCCGCGGGGCCTGGCCATTTCATGAGCCGCTTTAAAAATGGATCCGGATTCTGGACACGCTGCCAATCGGAGCCATGGGTTATTAAGCGGACCGAACACCTAGCTTGGCTCGGACTGCTTCGACGGGCGTGCGGTGACCTTTCTGCGACGTCGCGCAGCGGGAGGCACGCCTCCCAGCGCTCCTCTCTCTCTCTCTCTCTCTCTCTCTCTCTCTCTCTCTCTCTTCTCTTTTCAGGAAATTAACAAATGCTGACCGCTGACCCATACATTATTGCTCTGTCCTTTTTTTCCTGCCTACTAATCGAACCGCAAAATTAACTTTGGCGGCATTAAAAAGTCGTTAGATAAAGCGTGACACTTTTCCTCGTTCGGTAGCGCTGCCCCCCCCCCCCCTCTCCTCTCTCTCTCTCCTCCCTCTCTCTCTCCCTCTCTCCTCTCTCTCCTCCGCTCTCTCTCTCTCTCTCTTCTCTCTCCTCTCTCTCTCTCTCTCTCTCGCGGTGTGTCCGGTAGTGCCTCGCGAGCGAAGCCCAAAACCCGCCAGATGCCCCCGTCGACCTGGCCACCCTCTCTATAAAAAGATAAGCTATCTGCCGGTTTGGCTTGGCTCCGATCGCCCTGCCCGGCCCAAGTGATTACCGGGGACTTTCATTTGGCCCGCCGTTTGGCTAACCCTTTTGGTTGGTTACCGTTTGGCCGTGTTTTGCCCGCCTTTCGCCAGCCGCCTGTTTTTTTTCGTTTTTTTTTTAAGTTTTTTAATCAACGCGACGTTGTGCCATTTTGACCATGGCTGTTAATTCTGTTTTTTGGCCGTATTTTTGCCGCTTTCTGGCCTCTTTTTGACCCCTTTTTTGGCCCCTTTTTGGCCGGATTTTGGTCACTTTTCGGCCGAATTTTGGCCGTCGCTGGCCGCCTTCTGGCGCTCCACGGCCAGGAAGAAAGGACGGCCGCGGACGGCGACACTCTCCAGATAAGCATCGTGAAATTATGTGCGCTCGGTGGCCATGCCGATGCACGAATTTATGGCTATGTACTCCCGTTTCGGACAGTGGACCAGCAGGGCGGCGCGCGAGCGGCCAGGATTTTGTCAAACCAGTTTCGCTGGACGCCGAAAGGAGGGGGGGCAGTAGGGGGCTTGCAAGGATTCCCGCGCAGGGGAAGGGGGAAGGGGTAAAGTGTTGACTATGATCATTTGTTTACAATGTAACAGGCCTTCCTCCCATTGCATCATTTATCATGTGAAAGGTGAACGCCCCGGTGCCTATTTCTGTTGGCGTACGTTGCGGTGCCTTGCAGTGGCGCGGCGTGCGCGCCGCGGATTCGGCACGGACTGCTGGTCTTCGCTGTGCAAGCAGGCCAAGTGCACGCCACTGCCAGTCTACACCGGCGGGCCCGCTCATTCCGTCTGATTGGCCACTCTGCCTCTCTCGCACTCGGGGACGCCCCGGTGGGATGCGAGAGAGACAGAGCGACGGCTGCGCTATCAGTAGCAGATTTGCAGCCTGCGCTATCCACTGGTCGGCTTTATCGGTTGATTCCTTTTGCGACAGAGTCCGTTTTCCTGTTAAGACTCGGTGGCCGCGAGCATGCCTGCCGTCTGTCGCCGCACAGTGGGCCAGAGGACCGGTGGAGCACAGTGGGCCAGAAGCCGGTGGAGGCGGCCAAAACTCTAGACGCTTTGAGCTCCAGAGTCGCTAAATGGGACTCGAACCGAACGTGTGACCCCACCAATGGATTGCTCTCCGAACGAGGAATCCATTGGTGGGGTCACACGTTCGGTTCGAGTACCATTTAGGGACTCTGGAGCTCAAAACGCGTCTAGTGTTTTGGCCGCCTCCACACCGGTCCTCTGGCCCACTGTGCGCCGTGCGCCAGGCGGTGATGTGGGGGTGGGGTCGTTTCCCCGGACATGCAACACCTGCCCGCCTGCCGCTGCCAACATGTATTTTCCAGTGACTGTGCTCGTGCTCCCGACTGGTCCAGCTACTCACTCTCTGACAGGAGCCGCTAGTTCCACTACGGCGACGGTGTTCCTCTTTGAAGCTCGGAGCCACTCACTTTTGGGCCCCGCGCAAGCGCTGCG